CCCCGCCGCCGCGTGGGCGCCCGCCCCGCCGGGCCAGTTAGCGGGCGGCGCCGGCCCCGTGGGGACCGGCCCCCGACGGCTCCGTTACCGTAGGCCTGGTGGATGTTTTGCCTCCCAACCGAGTCCACCTCTGAGAATAAACATGTTAGGAGTGTTTTTTTTTTTTTTTTTTTTTTTTAGGAGAAAGGAAAAAAAAAAAAAAAAAGCCGCTTCCTCTCCCATCCCCCCGCCCCCAGGCCACGCGCCTGCTGCATTCTTGTACCCCAGGAGAAGCGAAATGGCCGTTCTCAAATTGAGTATATGTTAACACAAGTAGACTACAGATTTCAGCCTAACCCGGTTTTCCTGGGCGCCTATTTGATCATTTAGCTGAGGTTCTGATTTTTTCTCTTTTTCATTCTGCTGTGCTCTTGAGAGGCGCATCCTTGGTGCCATTCAGTGATCTGGTGGCATACCTAAGTTCTACTTAAGGCTTTAATTTACAGCCATAACCAAGTACTGTTTCAAGGGGGCAGAGGAGGGCTTTTATTAAAGTTGCCAGCGTAAAACCGCATGCATCCGATTTCTACTTAGAATAGTAGCTTGAAAATCTACATCCCCACGTTGCTTTGTGACTAGAAGTATGCTTCCTGTTCTAGTGTGGCCCATGAGACTTAAGAATTGTTGAGTAATGTGATCTGCTTTTGATAAAGCATTGCACACACGTTTCTTTCCTAAATACAGAAGCGAAACAACAAGTACAAAAATCATTGAAATTTGAAATACCAAAATATATGGTGACCTTGAAAGGGACTTAAAAAAAATTCCAACAACCTCTGTAATAATAATTCTCCAGAAAGACATTAATCAAGCATATAGCAAGTTTTAGCTAAATGCACTCTTAAAATTATAAGAAGCTTGTACTTTACTTATTTTTTATGATTTTTAAAACTAATATCTTTGTGGTTTCTGGCAAATGGACCTAGGAACTCTTATATAATAGGCAAATACTTTTTAAAACTTGGCCACATCCATAGCCCAGTTACCCTCTAAAATTTTATTTTAAGTTTCTGGAATTAACTAATAAAGTTGAAAAGTCGATTGATAAGCCAGTGATAGGTTTTTTAAAAATGCACTTAAAAATCATTAATATGAGAGGAAATTTGTCCTCATTTGTTAGTAGACAGTGTATTTTACATAATGAAAAAAATGTCACTGAGTTTAGAAATCAAAATAATGCTACTAAAGAATATCAGGGTTTTTCTTTCTTTTCTTTTTTTTTCTTTTTTTTTTGGAGACATGGTCTCATTAATGTTAGTTGGCCCAGAACTTGATATGTAGACTAAGCTGTGCTGGAACTCAAAACGATCTGCCTGTCTCTGCCTCCAGAGTGCTGGATTAAAGGTGTAGGCTACCATGCCTGGCTGCTCAGACTTTTGAAAGAATTTGAGGCCCAGTTTGACAGGAAGATGGTGTTAGGGCAGCCTGCCCTACATAGCAAGACCCTGGGTTTTTTTGTTTGTTTGTTTTGTTTTTTTTAGACAGTGGAATTTGAAGTTTTAAAAGACTCAGAAGTTAAAATGAAACTTGACTTTGAAGGATATAGATTAACAGTTTAGTAAGGAAGGAATAATTAATAGCAGTAGTTTTGTTTTAAATTAAGACCTAAAAAGTATTTAGAGTTAGCTCAGTTTTAACTTATCACGTTAAGTGGTGCTGTGAAACATATATATATATGTGCTAAATAAATATATATATGTTAAACCACTTATTTGAAAACAACTACAACAAGAAACTGTACCATCAGTACATGGTACTTTGGAGGCCAAGGAGAATTGACATTTGAGCCTGGGTTAAAGGAAAGATGGAAGAAAACCAACAGAACAGGGGCTCTACAGAAAAGGCCCTTGCTCCAGCACTGCAACCATTTAGCGTTGTAAGCAACCAAATTTCTTAGTTGCTAACAGGGATGTTTAAACCTTACCAAAGCAGTGTATATCAGTCTGCCTGGAGCTCGTAAGTTCAGGGTATTCCACTTATGTGACCAGGGCCCATAAGTTTTAGAAGCTCCCATGTAATTATGAACTGTTAGGTAAATATTTCTCAGTCTTAGCTAATCAGACCTGCTTTGATACAAAATGACACTTGTTTAGAAATTTCTCGGCAGGTTTGTGGTTATCTGCATTTTATAGGTTTCTAGTTGCTTCTTAAAAAAAAAAAAACAACCTAGGAGAAAATAATTTGGATTCCTCAAGTGTTCTCTGCTTCTACAGTATAACTATTGTATACTGTATTTTATACAAGCTTATATGAGTTATGTGGAGAATATGTAAAATTTGGCATAGACTAGATATTTTCACAAAGATCTTTCAATCGCTTTTGAAAACTAAAATATACATTCAGGAAAATAGTGAAATCTCGTATTTATAACTGCTTTCAACATACTAAAGTATAATTTATAGGTGAAGGAAATTCTAAATGTAAATGAAATTCATAAAATGTATAACTTTCTGTTTTAAAATTGTTTTCTTGCACGTTTTATATGATGAGTGCTTTGTGTAATTTTATTTGCTATATTTTGAAATGTATATATATTTGAAAAATAACCTTTTGACACTACCCAATTATAAGTTGGCACACACTTATAATTCCTGCACTCTAGACATTGAAGCAGGAACATTGGCATGAATTTAATATATAGTGAGACCCTGTCTCAAAACAACAAATAGTCTCCCCAAACAAACAAATAAAACTATTTAATTGGTGTGCTTTCCTTTAATATTTTCATGCCTTGAGCAAAAAGTGTATTTTTATAAGGTGTTACTAATACAATACCTATAAACTTGTAGATATGTAGAATGTTAGTGTTCTTGTGCATCCGTCTGAAGCCTAGTTTCTAAACATTAATTAGAGAAAAAGAGGAAGGAATTGAGGAAGTTAAAAAAAGGTATAATTCCCTTTTCATTCAGTTTTCTTTATTTACTTCTTTCAGGCATAATTTCACCTATCTAATTTTATCCTTCAGGTGGATATTAACCTATTCAAAACAACTTTGTTATGATGCTTGATAGCAAACCTATAGCCTCATACATGCTAGATAAGAACTCTACCACTGACTACACTACCAATCCTGCAAGCATTTGCTGAAGGTTAAATACTAGCTCTTGCCTCGGACACTTCTACAGCAGAACAGGGAAAGATAAACAGAACCTTAATAACTATTATAGTGTTTTCTGAAATATGCTAGTGGGCAAAAAGTTACTCAAGGCCTGCACTGGAGGAAAAGATGATTTTAATATGAACCTATTATAAGACCTTGTGATTCCTAAAGTTATTTATTACTTGAGGTATGGGTATTTTCCTTGAGTTGGAGGTTATTCTTTGTTCTTTATGCACAATTTCACCTTTATTTCCCTCCCTTTGTATGTTTCTTCCTCTGAAGCAATAATAACAAAACTGTAGCTAAGTCAGAAGCCTAGTTTCCCAATGGATTGGAAACAGCCAGGAGACTGCACCAGAGTTTGGCCAAGTACAGACAGAGGGGTGTGTGTAGAAAGCACAGGGAAATGAAGTGACACAGTATGTTCAGACATGATTAAGGTGTTAATGAATAAACTAGGGGCCAAACCTGTCCCTAATGGGATATGGGGATCACATCAAAATTTTTAAGCAGGACAGTGATCAGCTGCATGTTGGTATGCTACCTGAAGGCTAGATAAAGGCAGGCTATAGGAAATTGAGAAGGCTTTTGAATCATTTGGGGTATAACTTAATATTTAACAGTTATTACTCTAGACATGGAGTGTGCAGCAATAAAACATTACTAAGTATATTTTTCCTTGGGAGAGAATATAAAAACATACTAGCATTAGAAAGTGAGATGAGCCCTGTGGGATGTTTCTATTTTCAATAGGGTTATTAGGTAACTACTTACTAAAAGAGAAGCATTTGTCAAAACTGTGAAATAGGAGAGCAGTCCAGACCCAGGACATTTGGGAAAAAGCTTTCCAGACAGGGGAATGGTAGGTAAAAAGGCCAGAAATCCAGAATAAGCTTGGCAGGATTAAGGAAAAATAAGGAAGTGTCCAGAGGGAAGAGTAAGAAGGACAGACAGCAACAGAAGTAGACAGTGTGGTGCTGTCTGGAATCATCAGGTCACTTTAAGGACTTTGAATCCTACTCAGTGATTGGGAAGCACTAGGGTATTTGAACAGAGGAAATATAAGATCATGCCTTGGGAAAAGAGGAAAAAGCAATTCCTGCAGTAATCTAGATACTCGTTAGGATATGGTAGAACTTGCATG